CGAAAAAATCACGACGTCGGGGGTCTGTGGGGGGGGGAGATCACCGCCCACCAAACCACCCCAACCCAACCCGAAGGCCCCGATTTGCCCCCCATTTCCAGTGGGGGGGGGCGCCGGAGAACTTTGAGAAAGCACATGTGGGACCCGTACCCCCCCAACCCGAGATTCGGGTCTTCGGGTTGGGTTTGGGTGGGCTGGTCCGTAGTCAGAGTCGGGAGCCTTGAGACGGGGGTCAATGCAGACGAGGGTGAGCCAGATAACCTGATCTGGATGAACCCTGGCAGGCACGATCCAACAGCATCTCAGTTGGACGGGGTGGGGGAACACGGCACAACGGAGATGGTACCACCACGGGATCGACGAGATGAGCATAACGGATGACTGTGGGCAGTGTGGATGAGCATTGGCACTCGCCCACGTTCCGGGGCCGCATACTACGGGAAGCGTGGCTGCATCACAAATTCCACGGCCGGTTGGGTACAACACGGAATGACGTGCAGGCGTTCAGGATTACTTTGTACGACGCGAAGCCGCTCACTATCGCCATTGTGCAGGAACGCTCGCCTATTTTTGCGGTGCTCACGGGAGGCCTTGTGCCACCTGCCGCCTTCGAGCGGGGCCAGGAACACGACTTTTAGATGGAATGCCCGCGGCGTGCCAACGACCGACCACGTCGTGTGGGAATGTCAAGGAGAGGCGTTCTGGGGCCAGCTTCGCGCCCGCTCCAAGTACGCTCTCCGGAGACGCCTGGGTTGGCCCACGGGCGAAATTCGACGGAAGGAGGTGGTCCGGTGGTTGCTGCTGTGGGTGGCAGATGTCAGAACCACAGTTTTGGATCTCATCCGTCGCGTTCGCATGTTGCGTGTAGAGTGAGTGTGCGCCGTGCGGCAGCAGCTTGGGCCCATGCCTGACGAAGTGGGCCAAGAGCTCCCGCAACGCGGCGCATGCACTACAGTCGGCCTGGATTAGTAGGTCGACCCTGCCAGCTCAAGGGTACCCTTGTTTCCTGTGCCACGCGACACGTGCCTTCTACACTCCTATGGCGATGCGGCCCTCGGAAGTGTCTTGGGTCCTCTCGCGTGCCCTGTTCAATCAAGGCCGACTGTAGACTCATTAGACGGCGTCTTGCACAGTGTACCGTAACAAAAACCGCATGGGGAAACGCATCGGCCTCCCATCGCCCACTGATCGTAGATAAAGGGGTCCAGCATCGAGCCCACCCCGCCCATGGAGTGGGAGGAGGAGGAGGCGGAGGAGGAGGATGAGGAGAAGGAGGCGCCAGGGCGGCGGAGGGCGGCAACACGGACGAAGGATGCGTTGCCGGAGTGGCTTTCGCTCTGGGGCAAAGCAAGGGGACATTGGTTCAGGGGCACGATACATCAGGTGGCAAATCATGCGAGCCTTATGTACCGTCGCAATGATGTCTTTGGCGTCGGCTATCCTCGATTATCGATTGGGAGTCGACGAGAAGCGCCGACTGAGCGTTGGACCGACTGAGCGTCGGACCGACGCCGTCGGTTAGCGTCGATTAGCTTCGACTTAGCGTCGATTAAGCGTCGATTAGCGTCGGCAAGAGCCGACATAATGGCACGGGAAAACATCACCCCCCCAAATACCCTTCATCGCAGACAGGGGCCCGATGTCACGCCCTGCCCCGAACGCTCGGTTTCGCTGCCGACGGAGCCGTGTGGAGTCGTTCGCGGGGCCGAAGGATAGGCATCTTTGTTACCTACCTAGGCTCTGCCTAGAAGGGTTCTTACCCTCTGGGCTTAAAGGGGTCGGGCAGTGGACCCCGCCCCGGGCGGTTCCCCCGGTATCCGCCCCGCGGTTCCCCCAGCTACGTCCCCTTAGCTTAGCGTTGCTTATCCCATCTTAGCTTCGCCTAGCTTAACTTAGCTTAGCTTAGCTTAGTCTAGCCTAGCTTAGCTTAGTTTAGCACGGCTTAGCTTAGCTTAGCCTAGCTTAGCCTAGCTTAGCTTAGCACAGCATAGCTTAGCTTAGCTTACCTTAGCTTAGCGCAGCGCAGCAGAGCGCAGCGCAGCATTAGCACAGCATAGCATATCATAGCATATCATAGCATAGCATAGCTCGGCTCAGCTCAGCATAGCATAGCATAGCATAGCCTAGCGCAGCATAGCATAGCGCAGCATATCATTGCTTAGCATGGCACAGCGCAGCATAACATAGCATAGCACAGCACAGCACAGCATATCATAGCATAGCATAGCATAGCATAGCGTAGCATAGCATAACATAGCATACTTAGCATAGCGCGGCATATCACATCATAGCATGAACTAACATAGCATAGCATAGCGCAGCATAGCATATCATATCATAGCATAGCGCAGCCAAGGCCAGGCAATGCAAAGCACAAGCAACACCAATGTGAACGTGTAGATGTAGATGTAGGTGTAGGTGTAGATGTGAATGTAGCTGTATATGTAGATGTAGATGTATATGTAGCTGTAGGTGTAGATGTAGGTGTAGATGTAGATGTAGATGTAGATGTGAGTCTCGCTGATGATGTTGAGGTAGATATAGATGCAGGTGTAGATGCTCATGTAGCTGTCGGTGTAGATGTAGATGCTGCTTTCCTAGATGCTCCAACTCCTAGGTAGGGTCGCACTGGGATAATTGTTTGGCATTCCTTCTTTCGGCCATTCGACTGGCGTTGCCGACGGTGTGAGTCTCCCTGGTTCGATGCTGCCTGCTCCTGCCTCCTCCCGCGAGGCGGTCGCGGGCGGGCACAGGCCGTTGAAGATCGCCAGGAGGCCGCCGCTGCTCGAGGCGGGGCCAGGGGCAGGCGGGCGCGAGGAGAGTCGGGGCTGAAGGGGCGGGGGTTCGCTGCAGACGGGGGTCCGCCTGAGCGCCGGGTCCTGCAGGATCCTGCAGGGCCCAGGGGCGCATTGGCCTGGGCTTGGGCACAGGATCCTGTAACGCCTTACAGTCGGGTCGCTGAAGAAGGAGCCCTGTTCGTTTGGGAGGGGCTCCGTGTTCCTTAGCTGCTTTGCAGTTTGCCTTTGGTTTTCCTTAGGTTTTCGATGGGCAATCGAAGCTTAACTTGTGGAGAGAAGGGGCCTCGTTCCTTCTTTAGGGTTCCTGAGGTCAACACCCCGATTGTACTGACCCAGGTCTGGATTGACGCCGGGTCAGTAGATCTCCGAGAGAGGAGAGCCGGGAGGCGGAGGGAGCACGCCATGCGCAGACACCCGCCCTGGCCCAGGCCAACCCTTCAGGGCCCATTCTTGGACGCCCGGGTTATCCTGGGTACAGAGTGGGTCCATCAGAGGCGATGATAGGGGCGAATAGCCCAGGGGAGAGCAATACATATATCCAGGGGCGCCGATGATCTATGTCTTCCACAAGGCTCCCGGGCGAATACGTGTAACGCCCGCCCCTGGGCTATTCGCCCCTATCGTCGCCGCCGAGTCCAGGGTAATTCCGGGGTGGGCCCTGGAGGCGCGACTCTGCAGTTCTCCCTGACTGCCCCCAGCCCTGTGGATTCGGGAGGGTCGGGCGCCCGCGTCATCCAGGATAAGTGCGGTCCGGGGTAGTTCTGGGTTGGGCCCCCGAGGTGCGAATCTGCAGTTACCCCTGAATGCCCCAAGGCCTGATGATTCGGGAGGGTTGGACGCCCGAGTTATCCGGGACAACTGCGGTCTGGGGTAACTCCGGTTTGGGCGTCCGAGGCGCGTATCTGTAGCTACCCTTGACTGTCCCCAGCCCTGATGACTCGGGAAGGTCCGGGGTAACTCTGGGTTTTGGCCCCCGAGGCGCGAATCTGTAGCTACCCCTGACCGCCCCCGGCCCTGATGATTCGCGGCTCTGAAATTCCTCAAAGGAGGCAGATGTAACGATACCGCCACCCTTCCTTGTTTTTTTCGCATTTCTAGGCCTCCTGGGAGGCTTTCGTCGCCACGGCTGGACCTGCCCCGAAATTCTGGTCGGAGCCAGTTTGGGGTTTGGTCTCGGGAAATTGATGTTTCTGTTGACTCTTCGGTTCCCGCCGTTCTCGGGCCCCAGGAACGTCAGACACGTCTCTTTGGTGAGGGACAACGTCACATGGACCCCCGGGAGTGGTCTGGGGATAGATTTGGACGGATTTGGCTCCTACCCCCTAACCCGCACTCCCGGGCCGCCCCCAACCTTCAGGATCCACGTGGATCCGATCGATCCGATGCGATACCGATACCGACCAGTCCGTCCATCCAGTGCGGCCCGATGCTGGCATGGGGCGCTGTTGTGCATCCTGGCGCGGCCGATCCGATTCGAGTCGAGTCGATTCGATTCCCACTGCGTGTCGACGCAGCCCGATTCGGCCAGGGACGCTCGGAGAAGGCCGCGGCGCCCAGAACATCCTCCAGAGCCACCGGATCTCAGAGATGCTCGATTATCCTCGCCCGACTTCATCCTCGCCGTGGTTTCGTCTGAGCTGTCGTGCATCCTGGCGCGGTCGATCCGACTCGATTCGATGCCGATTCCGTCCCGAGGCAGCTCGACACGACGCTTAAGTCGGGCGTGTCCCTCTACAGGAGGAATATTCAAAAACAGTCGAATTAGCTTGGCGAAATACCCACCCATCTGCACTTGTGGGCACCGTCGTTGTATGCACCGCATTCGGTGGAACTCCCTATGGGGCTACCAAACGTGTGAAGGGGTTGCCAAAATGGGTGCGGTGGGCGCATGCGAAAACTGGCATGTGGGCCTTCGGTGGGGCTCCATATGGGGCCACGGAACGTGTAAGGGACGTGCCAAACTGGGTGCTGTGGGCGCATGCGAACGCTGGCATTTGCGCTTTCGGTAGGGCTCCCTGTGGGGTCACGAAAAGAATTAAGGGCGTGCCAGAATGGGTGCGGTGGGCGCATGCGAAAACTGGCATTTGGGCCTTCGGTGGGGCTCCCTATGCGGCCACGAAGCGTGTGAGGGACGTTGGGCGCATGCGAACGCTGGCATTTGGGCCTTCGGTGGGGCTCCGTATGGGGCCACGAAGCGTGCGAGGGGCATGCCAAAGTAGGTGCGGAGGGCGCGTGCGAATGCTGGCATTTGGGCCTTCGGTAGGGCTCCGTGGGGGGCCACGAAGCGTGTGAGGGGCGTGTCAAAATGGGTGAGGTGGGCGCATGCGTATGCTGGCATTTGGGCCTTCGGGGGGGCTCCGTATGGGGCTACCAAACGTTTGAGGGGCGTGTCAAAATGGGTGCGGTGGGCACATGCGAACGCTGGCATTTGGGCCTTTGGTGGGGCTCCGTGGGGGGCCACGAAGCGTTTGAGGGGCGTGTCAAAATGGGTGCGGTGGGCGCATGCGAACGCTGGCATTTGGGCCTTCGGTGGGGCTCCCCATGGGGCCCCGAAGCGTGTGAGGGGCGTGCCAAACTGGTGGCGGTTGGCGCATGCGATCGCTTGCATTTGGGCCTTCGGTGGGGCTCCGTGGGGGCCCACGAAGCGTGTGAGGGGCGGGTCAAAATGGGTGCGGTGGGCGCATGCGATCTCTTGCATTTGAAACTTCGGTGGGGCTCCGTGGGGGGCCACGAAGCGTGTGAGGGGTGCCAGAATGGGTGCGGTGGCCGCATGCGATCGCTTGCATTTGGGCCTTCGGTGGGGCTCCTTGTGGAGCCACGAAGCGTGTGAGGGGTGTGCCAGAATGGGTGCGGTGGGCGCATGCGAACGCTGGCAATTGGGCCTTCGGTGGGGCTCCGTGGGGGGCCACGAAGCGTGTGAGGGGTGTGCCAAAATGGGTGCGGTGGGCGCATGCGAACGCATGCATTTGGGCCTTCGGTGGGGCTCCCTGTGGGGCCCCGAAGCGTGTGAGGGGTGTGCCAAGATGGGTGCTGCGGGCGCATGCGAACGCTGGCATTTGGGCCTTCGGTGGGGCTCCCTGTGGGACCACGAAACGTGTGAGGGGCGTGTCAAAATGGGGGCGGTTGGCGCATGCGATCGCTTGCATTTGGGCCTTCGGTGGGGCTCCGTGGGGGGCCACAAAGCGTGTGAGGGGCGTGCCAAAATGGGTTTGCTTGGCGCATGCGAGCGCTGGTGGGGCTGCCTGTAGCTCCGCGCAGCGTGTGAGTGCTCTGCCGAAGCAGAGACATGCGGAGGGCAGGCGGAGGAGGGAGGAGGGGGAGGAGGAGGAAGGAGGTGGAAGGAAAGAACGCGGAGGTCAAGAACCCCCCAAAACCACAGGATGGTAGGGAAACATAGTCTGGGGACGATGTCGGGATTATTTTTCATTACTCAATCGCTTCGCTCATTCCGTCGGCGCATATTGCCCTGCCGCTTGGGGCCGGGTTGGGGTCTTTGGGGAGCCTCTGGTAGGCAGTTTTGAGTCCTCTTGGGGGCCTTGTTGGGGCCTCTTGAAGCCTTTTGGGGGCCTCTTGAGGCTTCTTGGTGTGCCTCTTGGGGGCCCCTTGGGGCCTCGCCTCTTGGGGCCTCCGGGGGCAACTTGGGTCTGAAGACTGGACTTTTCGGTTCCTGGTCCCTGTCTTGGGTGTCTCTTGGGGCCGTTTTGGGGCCCTCTTGGGCCATCTTGGGCGCCTCTTGGGCTGTCTTGGGGCCATCTTGGGCCGTCTTGGGGCCCTCTTGGAGGCTTCTTGGGCCGTCTTGGGGCGGTCTTGGGGGACTCTTGGGCCGTCTTGGTGCGTTGGAAAGCCGAAAAGACGAGAAACGTGGCACATGCGAAACATGCACGTTTTCCGAAGGGAATGGGGCTACTTTTTCTTGTTGGGGCCCTCGTGGAGAGCCTCTTGAGGCTATTGAGGCCTCTTGAAGCGTCTTGGCGGCCTCTTGGGCAGTCGTCGGGCCATCTTGGGCATCGTCGGCCGATCTTTCGAGGACTCCGAGGGCTCTTGGACCGTCTGGGCGCTCTCTTGAGGCCGTCTTGGGCGCCTCTTGGGCCGTCTGGGGGGCCTCCGGCATCTCTGGCAGGCACTTGCCGGGAGTTTTGCGGGGTTCTTGTCGCGTCGGGGCCCCCAGGGGCCGCTTCGCGTACTTGTTACCGGAGATCTTAGCACGCCTCTGGCCCGTTGGGCCGGCGAATTTTTGCATACTTGTTTGAATATTTTTGATTTGTTCTTCAAAATCCGCCTTTGGAAGGACATGCCCGACCTGATACGACGCACAGTGCGAGGCAGTCCGATGCCTCGACGCGATGCAGCCTGGTGCGGCCCTGGCCCGGCCAGCCCCTGGGCCAAGGATTGGCGTCGGCAAGCGTGGCAACAAGTGAGAGCAGCAGGAAAGTTAGCAGTATCGGGTCGTCGTGGTCGTGCAGCAGTTTGTTGAGTAATCCAGCAAGGTAGCTTGGCTAAAGTAAACTATGATGCAACCGTCTATGGAATGCCTCCGTCATCAGTGCAGGCCTGGCGGCGAGCGCTGGGCAAGACTCTTTCCAGTACCTTTGAGATGCCGCTGTCTGGACACGTTGCTACAGATCGAGCTGGGCGACAAGGATCCTGCAGTGGCACAAGTTTGGCGATCTTTAGATTCTTGGCTTACTATTATCACATCAGGAGCTCGAGCTCGTGCTCTAGCCCTTCGGGATTGGGACGTCCATCTCTGTCGAGCTCGCGCTCGACCTCAGCATCGTTGGAGGAAAGTTACGGGCCCCACGAGGGCCATCATCAATACTCTCTTGGACTTCAATTGGGATCCCACGGGGCCGTGGGACTGGACTTCGGACCAAGGGGAGCAGTTTTTGGCGACGGAGGAGATTCTCGAATCAAAGGTTTCCGACATAAACGACCTCAAGCGGGAGCTCGCCAGTTCTGTCAG